GTTGTTGTTGTTGTTTGTTGTTGTTGTTGTTGTTGTTGTTGTTGTTGTTGTTGTTGTTGTTCGTTGTTGTTGTTGTTGTTGTTGTTGTTGTTGTTGTTGTTGTTGTTGTTGTTGTTGTTGTTGTTGTTGTTGTTGTTGTTGTTGTTGTTGTTGTTGTTGTTGTTGTTGTTGTTGTTGTTGTTGTTGTTGTTGTTGTTGTTGTTGTTGCAACAATGGTCGAGCGAAGGTGAAGGGGGGAAGCAGTGCCCATGTGCACGCTTGATGTTTCAACTACTGCCAGCCCACATCCTCTCACGACACGCACACCATTGCCACGTGCGTGGTGCAGGTACACGTGCGTGTCGTGCGGTGCGCGCCATGACGAAAACAAGGAGGCGGACGAACGTTTGACGTGCGGATTCCGGGCAGCAGCGGCAGCGGCCTGGCTCAACAGCATTCCCGACGTCATCCGCGTCCACAATTCGCTGTACGTGCTTGCAAGCAACCAAGAAGCTCGTTTGGAGATGTGGGTCGTTTGCGTGTTGTGCTTTGTTGGCCATGCCAGCTGTGCTGGCTGTGCTGGCTGTGCTGGCTGTGCTTTGGATTTGTGTGTCTTGCTCGTCCCACACCAATGCACTGTTTTAACGTGCAGCCAGTACCACTTCGTCATGATTCACATGTTGCTCACTCACTTCGTTCACCAATCACATCCCTTCCTCCCCTCCCTCACCTCCTCTTCCTGCCACCACTGTCATGACTGTCAACGGCTTCGCGTTGCGCGTGGGTCAGGTGCGAGGGCCTGCACCGCCAGCACTGGATATGTGCCACCCTCCGCGTGCGTCTGCTCCACCTCCTTGACCGCCGCCGTGAGGAGATGCGTCTGCAGGACAAGCGCGAGCAGGAGCTCTTCACGCGCCACCCGCACATACTGCAGGATCGATTGCTGCTGCCGCGGGAAGAACGACAGCGGTTTAGGGAAGAACGATGCGAGTTTGAACGCGAGCGCGCGTCGCTCCACATTCTCCACGCCATCCTGCTGCATCGACAGATGTACGCGTGTGATGCGGTGCTGCCGCGTCTCTCGGCAACGGCCATGGGCGCGTGTGCACAGAGATCGGAGGCGTGGCAGGCAGCAAGCACGCTGCTTGGAGAGCTGGTGTGGGACCTCAAGGCGGACGCCAAAGAGCAGCAGCAATGGGAACAGGAACAGCAGCAGCAGCAGGAAGCGGAGGAAGAGGACGAGGACGAGGACGAGGACGTGGACGAGGACGAGGAGGTGCAGTTGCGACAGAAAGAACGGACGGCGAAGCAGCCGCAGCAGCAACAACAACGGCTTGAACAGCAGCCGCAGCCACTTAAACAACAACAGCAGCAACCACTTAAACAACAACAGCAGCAACCACTTAAACAACAACCTAAACCGCAGCAGCAGCAAGAACAGCAAGGGCAGCAGGGGCAGAAGCAGCGTCGCAGGGGTCTCACCACGTACGAGCAGTGGACTGCGCTTCCTCCTCTGCCGTACCCGGACGACATTACCAGAACATTCCAAGCCAGCTTTGATGCCGCAGATGCTGTCGTGCGCTGGTTGGACTACCTCAACATGGCGTCACTGAGCGAAGCTGCTCGTCGCCAGAGCGAAATTGCCTGGCCAGCCTCCAACCACGTTCCCATGCTGCAGGAAGACAGGTAACACTCGACGAGAAAGCGCTCTCGCTGGCGTTGCCCCCGTGTGATATTTCGTGTGTGTGTATGTGTGTGTGTGTCTGTGTGTGTGTGTGTGTGTGTGTGTCTGCGTCTGTGTGTGTGTGTGTCTGTGTCTGTGTCTGTGTCTGTGTCTGTGTCTGTGTGCGTGCGTGTCCGTGCTGGCAACTCATCATCAGCGTGGCAAGCGCAATAAACAAACAATGGTTCAATGCGAACGTCGTTTACATGATGGCATCACGTCAGCAAACAGCGGGCTCTCGTCACTGAGAAGCGCCACGAACCAGCATCAGCACAGCTGGCTCAATCCCACTCGGGTGCTCCCACGTGCGATTCCAAAACTATCACCACCACCACAGCCACAGCCACTACCACTACCACGACCCCCGCACCACCACCATCAACTAACCACTGCCAGTACGGTTCCTGTTTCCCCTATCCTCTGTCCTCTGTCCCCTGTCCCCCTGTCCGCTGTCACGACCTGGGCAGGTAGTAGGCTTGCAGCTTGGCACGGACAGCTAGTCCGATTTTCCCCTCGCTCGTCGACAGGCTGTCCCAAAACGCGTCCAGTGCCGTCTTTGTCTTTGCACTGCTGCTCCGCCGCTTGAGACCTGATGCCAAAGTCGATGGCGATGCTGCTGTTGGTGTTGTTGCTGCTGCTGTTGTTGTTGCTGGTGCTGCTGTTGCTGACGCTGATGATGGGCTGAATACGGTGCTGTTGTCGCCACCGCGCGCACTTGACGAGTTTGGTTTCCGGTCCTCCAAACTGCTCATGTGCATCGTGGCCGCGTGTGCCTCCCGCAGCGCATTCGTAAACCTGAGACGCAGCACACACACGCACACGCGCACACGCGCGCGCACACATGGGTGCGCAAGCAAACGCATGATGATTAGGCATTGCAGAGGTGCTGTGCAACAGCATACACATGCTGATTTCATATTCTGCACACACATGTTGCCTCTTTTCCTCGTTCCCGTCGCCTGCAAACCCTCTCATCCACCACCATCACCACCACCGCCACCACCCGTGAACCGCACAGGGCAGGTGTCGGGTAGGCCTGGGTGATCATCTGCGCATGCTTCAGCGTTAGTCCGTTCATGTGCAGCAGCTGATGCGCAAACACTTCGCGGATCGTGCCAGTCTACACCAATGAAGGGCGGCGTGAAAGGACGGGGTACGTGAGTGATGGCATTATGAGGTGGCGACCACGGAGTTGCTGCTATGGAGTGAACGTGAGCACACGTGAACCAAGACACACACACACACACACACACACACACGACAAAACCAACGTGCACGCACAGCAGCGCGGCGAGAGATTTCTTGGAACGTTTGAAAGTCGAAGCTGTGCACGTGCCCGTCCTTCGGCTGTCCCCACCCAGCAAATCCTTTCGAGCGAAATGTGTGTGTGTGTGTGGGTGGGTGTGCGTGGGTGTGAGTGAGTCATAATGCATGTGAATGTGATATTGAAATATGTCGGCGTGTGTGTGTGATTCCACGAACAGCAACATATCAGTCACACAATTAGCACAACCCGCAGCACCTCTGAGATGGCAGCACATGCGCTCTGTTGGCGTCCAGGCTTCAACGCTGCACCCCTGTGACAATTGTGGTGTGATCATGCACGGGCACGTAGTTGCTGTTGGTGGACAGGCAGTCGACACAACGACACAATACCATATCATCCGCTGTCATCCAGCCATTCACACATTCACATGGCACTTGCACGGGTGCCAAGCCATCCAACGAGCCGCCACATCCCCTTCAACCACACGTGTGTGTGTGTGTCTGTGTGTGTCTGTGTGTATGTGTGTGTCTGTGTGTCTGTCTGTCTGTCTGACTGTGTGTGTGTGTGTGTGTGTGTGTGGTGTCACCTGAACGAGCTGCTTGATCATGCGCGTGCAGAGGACGAGGTACGCCTCCACCTCGCGAATGTTCGGCACCGTCTTCACAAAGAACCCGCCCTCCACCTGCATAAACAGCATATGACGCCCGAAAAAGAAGGATGGATGGATGTACACATTGTGTACGTTGTACTGTGACACAAAGGTGGTTCACAGCGCGGAACACAATCAACTCATGCAAAACAATGTGATGGTGTTGGACACACGCGCACACATATGCACACATATGCACACATATGCACACATATGCACACATACACATGCACGCACGCACACACGCACCTGGATGTTGAAGGTGGCCTGCTTGAGCCTGAGCCAGGGTGTGAAGTTCGAAGTTTGATTGCATGCAGGCAAATACGCATGGAAGCGGCGACAGCAAGTGGGCATCTCGGGTTGAGTGTGCCGTGAGACACCACATGGGCAGCCAATGTCACGCCCATCCACAATCCCCCACCCACACCCAGCGCAAAACACGAGGGAAATAACGCTTCCACGCCACCATCGCGCCCCAAGTCCACCATGCCAAGATGATGCCAGTCCGAACCTTGCTTCGTCGATGCCTGGCACGTGCAGTTGCCCCTCCTCCACAAGCAGCACGGGATGCGACACTTCCATCTGGGAATGGAAGTGCAAAGACGAATGGATGACGCGGGAGGATGGTATGGGGAAGAACATGTGCAGGTGAGCACCAGCAAGGGAAGGGGGAAGCAAAGACGATGGTGTGCCACAATACCGCCATTTCGCGTCACCCCTCAGGCAGCACAGCAGAGTGAATGCCAGAACAGCACCAATGACGTACAGAGTAGAAGCGGTGGAGTTGGCTGGAGAGGCGCCCACGATACATGATGCTCTGCGCAAAGTCGTCAAATCGTTTCCGCTCAACCTGTGATCTTGACATGTACGGTGGTGTGATGTGCTGAGCGCGGGTAAAGGGGGGGGGGGGGTGAAGCAGTTGATTGAAGGAAGAGCATGTTGATACAGAGCACACACACACACACACACACACACGCACACACACACACACACACACACACACACACACACAGATGCTGAATTCCCCTATTGGGGCCATTTGGGTTTTGTCGGGGGGGGGTGGTCCGAATACTATTTATGTTGTGGTCGACCAGTCTAAGGTTAACGACAGCCTCTCACGAAAAGTTTGACTTGTGTAACCCGATTAAAACGTTCTCCCCCCCAATGAGAAGGAGAATTCTCCTTGGGCCGTGGCCTGACGTGGCGCGATACCCTGGGGTTTCCCTAGGGATACACACAAAGAATAGCCCCCGATGGGAAAAAAGATGAATGGGCGGTGACCTCAGACGGGGTTTCATAAACCTAGTAACAACATATGGTGAATCCACCAGAAGGAATGGGAGGTATTTTACTACATGGTGCATTGTGTACGTAAGACGCCATATGCGGGCGGCAGCACTACATCGCAACTAGGGTATCGAAGGCTCTTCGCTCATACATGGTCGACTCCACAGTGAGAAGCCCCAG